AGATAAATATATGGGATACATACAGTGGGATATAAAAGCGAGAGTACGAAAGGGAAATTCCCTCACCAAATTTGAAATCGCGAACACTTCACCGCTGTTTATTAGTGTTGTCCAGTTGACAGCACCGACGTAGAGCTGCAGGGGCCAACTGTAGTGGAGGGGGTGAGGGATCGCAGCGTTGACGCAGCGCCGCACCAACGCTCAATGGTAATCGTCTGGATGCGCACATGATGTGGGCGTTCAGTTGTGCCTGGATAAGACACCGGTAATTATTCGATACAGTCGAAGGCTACTCCCTGAGGAAGGCTTCCAACCTCCCATGAAACTTTGGATGGAAACCCAGGCAGATCGGTAGAGTTGAGAATGCTAATCACAGATATGGAGACCAAAACTGCTACGCGAACTTTCTGGACAAGTTCTGGTCGGTCAGAGCAAAAAAGTAAATAATGCACGAATCGGGTATCGCCCCTATGTCAAAAATGGATGTCATATGTGTGATCAGACCACCTATCTACCCCGGGTACCCGACAGGAGGCCCGTCGCGCGGCAAGAAGGCAGAGTCGCGGACGAGTCGCAGCGCGTGATGTGCGATGTAGGACGTACAATGGACATTCTATTTAACTTGACGCGAAATCACTACAGTACGCGCTGCGACTCGTCCGCTGACTCTGCCTTCTTGCCGCGCGACGGGCCTCCTGTCGGGTACCCATCTACCCCTAAGGCAGTTTCTGGGAAGACTAAAAATGCTGATGCGAGAGATTAGCTCTATTCATACCCTGACGCTGCACTTCCTGCCAACTTTGAGCGCTCACGACCTGCTTGGAAAGTTCACGTAGCAGTTTCGCTTCCATATTTGTAACACGCATTCATTACTTTATCGATTTACCCAGTCTCCATTCAAAGTTCCATGGGATGTTTGAAGCCATTCCAGGACAGAAGACGACTGCACTTTGAAATTAAAGCACTAGGGCACCTGCTTCAACAAAGCATGTCGCTCCAGTCGCAGTTGCTTCTTGATCAGATACAGTTGTGTTGACAAGTCACCCGAATAGCTGGACACTGCCAGGCTTGCTGTAGGAAGAATAGACGACGACGGATATGTCGCATCTTCATCGTCCGACGGTTCAAGCCCTTCAATATAAATACATCACAATGGACTGGGATATCTCATAAAAGCTACAATCCGCTGCAACCATGGGAAAAGGAGGAGATTCTCTCCATCAACTCCTGAAGAGGCCCTACCTAGTGGAAACAGATCAGTTTTGTCATAATCTGCATCCTCAACTGCGCGACACATCGAGTCAATTTCTGGGATCGCACGGTAGACACCCACCATCCGTCGGCGTTGACGTTTCATTCGAAGACGGATCACCTGTGTGAAAAGATGTTTAGTAAATCTTTTCCTGCGTTCGAAAGTGGATAGCCTACCTTGTTGCCATTTGAAGTCTTGCCAAAATCCTCTTCATCACTTGAAGGGGGTGTTCGACGAGCAATCGGCGGAGCGGTCCACGGCAGAGGTTGATTTTGTCGTGCAATCGCCGCCGCCAACGCAGCAGCATAGCGGGAGTTTCGCGCACCTCGCACACCACCTTCTAGCAGCTAAAAGCAGAAGTAGCAGCGTTTAATAACTGGAGACGAAAATATAACAAAAAATCTCGGCAACGATGCCCTTAGA